TGGAAAATATTCCATATTGTATCGTAGTTTTCAACGTAAGCGGCCCTACACCATCGTTTGCCATTGCACTTACATAGATTCTACATGCAGATTGGCCTTTGTAGGCAAAGTAATGCTAGTGAATCTCAATTGAGAAGTTGGCTGGATTATAATGATTGTGAGATGATCTATCCCAACTAATCAATACCTAAAAGGTCTTCTGCAACGATTGACACGAAAACGTTATAGAAAATGTAGGAAAAAAAATACATCTAGAAAATACTTATCCCTGAAAAATATCTATTCAAATGAAAAATCTTTAGTTCTGTAGATAAACCTAAAACATTGAAAAATTTTACTGATACCACAGATGTGATAAAAGGTTACCCGTTAATTGCTGATACCCTTGTAAATTTATATGAAACATCATTGGACTCGAGTAGCTGAGCTCATGGAGATGCATTAAAACACAATAAAATTATTTTTTAGCTATTGAATACTTCGATAAAAAATATCTCATTAGAAGAGGTTGAAAAGAAGCAAGAAATATGCACAAAAAACGAAACCGACAGCTAATGAGCTGTTGCTTGTTTTTTTCACTTATGTCAATTTTCAGCTGAAAACCAACAAATTATCACTATAGCATATAACATAATTTTGGAAACAGAACGCTGTCTTTAGAAAAGCAGTTATGTTTAAGTGATTTGTCTATCGAAATATGAATTACATCCAGAAGTGCGTAAGTTTAGATCGATCTTACTTCTGCTTTATTGTGGAAAACGTTTCGAGAGAATAATGTACATTCTTATTCGTAAATGGTGTAGCGATAAAGGAATTTAGGTGACGAAGAGTTCGGCTTTATCTTGGAAAGAAGATTTCAAACATGTATTTCATCCTCAGTAAAAGACCTAAGACTAACAATCATAGCCAACAATAGACATCACTTTTATGATGGATTTTGGTGTGCATATGTGTGGGTATGGGATGTGACTGTAGATGTGTAGTGTGGTTGTGAGTGTAATATTACGGTCGAGGAGAAGATCCACACTCATCCTTTTAGTTTTCGAAATGAGCAAAATTTTGTACAGCTAATTTTTGACGCTACGAACAAGATCATTTTTTGATACAATATAAATTTCTTTTCTTAGTACTTCGATTGATGAGTTCTATCGAAACTCATAGTTGATGGTCGAATATATATCAATCGACATATGTTCCAATCACAACAATACACAAAAGGATAAAGGCAAAAAAGAATGATTTATTACTTGATCATCCATTTTGAAAACAAACTGTATAAATATAAAATAAGCTGTTCTTTGTAAATTCTAAAGTTTTTCATGCTGCATTTTGTAGTAGGTTTTGTTTTTTTTTACATTGTATTAGGTAATAAAAAAAAGAAATTGGAAAAAAATATTTTTTTATCTGAGGCAGACTAATCACAGGTAGATGTTCTTGTATTGTATTCCTCATGCTATGTTACTCTATCAATGAAGTATCTCTGTCTTACTTTATCAAACAGAAAAAAGCAAAATTATGTCTTCATTATTGATTATACAAAAAAAAACAATTGAAAATGAACACTTTTCCATTCGCAAGTATTGGGTTGAAATTTATTGACATTTTCTTGGCGTTTTTTCCCACAGATTGAACAACATCGTTCAATGTATAGCTTTTAATCTATTGATCTATTTCAAGAAAGCACATCTATTTATACTTTTAAAATAAATCAACTATCGATTAGATGTACAAGAATAGCTTAGGTTTCTCAGATATTTTGATATAGGTTGTCATCAAATAGAAATTTGAACAAAAAAGAAAATTAGTTTCTAAGGATAAAGCCAGTGATTAAGATCTTGAAGTTGTGCCAGAAAATCAATAGCATGGGCGGCAGCTTTAACCATATGTAAATAAGCAAATGTATTAAGATTTTCTAATGTGTCACATTTTCCATGATAACATGGATCATGATTTGTGTTTGCCATTCCACCTAATGTTGAACCTAACATTTTTAAATATCGATCACGTTGTTCTTGAGTTTTAGTATCGTCAGCACCAGCAAACAAGCCACCACAAGCTATACCTTCAGCAAGGAATGGACCATAATCACTTCGACCACTAAACTCTGTATAATCCCACGGTAAACGATTTTGTTCAAAATAATCAATAAATAAACGTGTTATTCGATTACTACCAGGTAGAGCACGTGCTGGTGTTGTTTCATTATTTGCCGTCTTACCATCATAAATACCGAAAAAAAAATTTGGTGATGCTAACATATCAAAATTAAGATTTACAGAATACAATCCAAGTGAACCATCTATTTTTGCTCGTCGTACAAAATCTGTTGAACCTAATAGACCAGCTTCTTCGCCACCCCACCAACAAAATTTAATACGTGAACGCATATTTGTTGCATAATTTGAATGAACAAGTAAACGAACTAAATTCAATGCAATGGCTAATGTAGCTGCCATGCCACTTCCATTATCATTTAGACCAGGACCTAAGAATAAACAAATACGAAAGACGAAAAATTTTTTTTTTTGTTTATTATTTAAAAAAACAAAATATTACCTGTCGATACACTATCACTATGACTACCAACAACAATTGTTCGATTTGAATCGCCTACTTTTGTATCTGCACATACATTAGTTACAATAGTCGGTGGTAGTGATCGAAATTCTAATCGCATATAAATACGAGAAGTATTTTCCAGAATAAGATGCATGCCTGCTGCATATGAAAGAAATAATGCTGGCAAAGTATTATTTCTTGGTGCTCGAACATTATTTAATGGTTCAAGACGTTCCATTGTTAGTCCATCATTATAAACAAGAAATGCACTAACTCGTTTATTCATTGCCAAAAGAATTTTATCTGTAAATGTACAATTACCTCGTCGAACTAAAGCTACATCACCTTCTTTTGTCGTATTCCAATCCTTCAAATAACAACCGAAACGTTCAACAACTGACAATGGTCGACCATTAATAAATGACCAATTTCGAGCTTCAGCTGATCGATCCATAGGTACAAAATCTTTTGGATATGTAAATATGGATGCATTGGATTTATTAGGTAAAGCTATAAGAATTGGATACTCAGCAAGTTCAGTACGAGGAACAGAAAAATAATATTTTTCAACAATAAAATTGTTTTCTGTATTCAGTTGTGATGTAAGATAATCGATTGTTCGATTAAATGACATTGTTCCTATAGCACGACTTTGAAATTGACGAAGATGAATAAGCATATGTTCAAGTGTAATTGAATCAACTAATGAAGATGATTGATTTTTTTTCGATGGTTGATTAGTAATTGGTGTTGTTGTTGTTGATGATGATGATGATGATTCAATCCGTATTGCAGAATATGAATCAATTTTTGAAACAATTATAGCTGCCAGAATAAGAATAACGAGCAGAAAAAGACAAATTATACCAAAAAGTACATATTGATAAAAATATTTTTTCTTTTTTGGTACTAATGATGGTAGTGATGTAACAGATGGTATAGAAACAATAGTTGGATCAACATTACGAGAGGATCCAAATTGAGTTTGAAGTATCATACCGTCATTCATTTGTAACAAAATAAAAAATAATGATGATTGATTTTGATTTTATGAAGGGTATTGTTTTTTAATATTATGATAAACTTTATAAATGATATTTTTCTTATCTGCTTCATTAATCGGTATAATGTCATTCGAAAGTTTAACATATTACAAAATAATGAGTGAATTTTTCGCTCTTATCCGAATTGTGAAATGATTAGTGTTCTGCAGTCGGATCGGGTCACCGGGTAGAAATTCATATGCCGACAATTAATAAGATCTCGCTCAATGTTTCAAAATATTGTTACTTATAAAAGCTTATGAATGAAAATCCGTTTGATCATAATCGAACAATTTATTAGAATTGGGAACAGATCACATAAGTGAAAGGACTTGTTTACAAGAAGAATTCGTTTTTAATAATAGGTCATCGATAAATGATGAACTATATGTGGCAAAGTAACTGAATACAAGAAGAAAATCAATTATCAAAAAGACGAGCATCTATTATCATGATGGAAAAAAGCATTCATGAATGAAACCATGATTACAACAAGTAAACGTAGACTTAGCGAGATCGGTCGAATGTTAGAAGCAAAAAAGCTACCAAGTGAAAACTGAATGAATCATTAGTTTCTTTTTTATAAAAGTCGACATGATCTCTTTTTCTTCTGTTGTTTATGGAAGACACTAAATGCCATCCTTTCTCATATAAAATAAACCTCAGAAAACCTTACTCTAAAACACGTTGTCGAATGTCGATGAGCTCCATTCCAACTCTTATCTTATTTTTTTTATTCGAGTATTTATTATTCATTTACCTTTAAAACATTATCAAAGACGCAATTACAAAAAAAAAACATAAAATAATATTTAATAAAAAATCTTTTTCAAATGAGTAAAAAGAAGAACGTTAGCATTCACTTTTTTTAATACATGGACTATTCTTATCACTTTGTCGTACATAACCATTGATACAAAAACAACCAATAGCACACATATGATTGCATGGTTGTTGCCATGTATCTTTATCAGCACATGTCTGTTCACACTGTGTGCTACAAAGACTATATGCTTCATCAGGACGACATATTCCATAATTGATAACTAATAAATATTTTTAAAATAATATCTTTTTTTTCAAATTGGTAGTTCAAATTCACTTACATCTACAATCGATAAGTAATGGCACAAAAAGAGCTAAAACAATAAAACTTATGCGTACGTACGCCATATTGAATCAATTCAAAAAAAATATCGATTTTGCTGCCTATGTATATAATAAACGCTGACTCAAATGAAGCAAAGAAATGCAAAATGACGCAGTATCTTTACATTTATTTGCTAACGTCCATACATTCAACAACAAAAAAAAACAGAAAGAATGTATCGACTCATTTTTTCTTTTATTCGATCGTAGAAAAAAGTACACACAAACGAATAACAAACATAGATATATTTACTGATTGTCCATAGATTTAATAACAACTTTCCAAAGTCCATCTCGTGTCTGTTTTAATATAAGATTTTCTCTTGGTGTATCTCTGGTAATTGTTTTTAATTTTTCATAAGCACGTACTTTAGCAGTTTTCTTCAAACGATCACGAATACCAGCACCCATTTTTAATTGTTTATTGAATACTAATGTACATTTATGTGTATTAATACCACGTGTACGTAAATCAATTTCATGTTCAACTAATTCAATCGAAAACTCCGATTCATTACTAGCTGCTTTTGATGCACTAGCATTGCGAAAGTACGACTTTATTTGACTAGCATCTTCTCGAGCTTTTCCTGTATCATCTTTTGGTGTACGACCTTGCATTCGTTCGCATATACGATTAAGAAGCTGTTCAACTTGTTCACGACGTTGTTCTCTATATATACATATAACATTATTAAAAGAATTAAACACAAATTTTGTCTAAGAAAAGGATTCATTCTTTTATTCATATAAATGAATTCTAAATTGATTTATATATTCCTTAGCTTTCAATCTAATACAGATCATCGAACAAAAAAGTTTGTTCTTTTTCAATTCTAATAACAGAATTGAAAACAAAAAGTCTATAGAAACCGTTTTCTTTCTACTTGCTGCAAACATACAATATAAAACGCATACTTTTAGCACAGATAATTACTTTTATTATCTACAAGACAACAAGGACTATATTCCTAAATACTCATCGATTTTACTCGATTTATAACAAGCTTAACAAGGGAAGTTTGTCAAATGATTACACGCTTTTGGTTCGCGTCTATGGGCATCATAAGAAACTAAATTGGTTGTAAATATACTGATAAATTCAAACTATTAGTTTACTCTGTCGAACGCACAGTAAAATCGCGGTAGTTTGTAAACGGATATCGTAGATCTCCACAAAAACAGCAAGAAAAATGATTTTTGAGTTTCGATTGAAAACTAAGTGCAACTGTATAACTTTAACTTATTGTGAATAATTCAGATCTTCTGATGTCTTTCTATCTTTAAATATGAATATGAAACCTGATGTTCTATGTGAACCATAGAGAAGACAATCTTTTAACATAACTGAATCGTAAGATAAACAAACAACAATAAGATCAGAAATATTCACAAAACTACTATTATTCTTGACACTTTCTTTTCTATAAAATTTCGAGTGAAAATTCGAAAAATAATTTTTTCTGATGTTATAAGACGCTTCATCGCTAATTTAGTACTGCATTATCCGTGTAGTCTCGACTCAAAAAACGATTTATCAGTTTCAAAACTTCTTGCACTAGTCAGTTGGATAAATTATATATTAAGTGTTGTGTCATTTTTTTTGATTCTTTAAAACAGAATCAAAACATGACCTTAAGACAAATTTATTCTATAGCTCCAAATTTTCCATTTATGTGAAAAAATTGATATTAATATCCATTGTGCTATTATTACTTTCATGGCAATCAATTAGTATCAAAAGTTATGATTGCATAAACCAATTTCATTGAGGCTACCAAGCGCCTTTTAGCACATTTGACGTAGACTACCAAGCGTCTACGAGGTATCCATGTAAATGAAAAACTCAATTAAATATACTCATTTTTTTTCTCTTCTTTTAAAAAAAAATCAATACTATTTTTATACACACTTATCTCAATTAATATTTATAACTTAACAAGAAAAACACCATCTAAGAGGGATGATAGATGACTTGAAATATGATCAGGATCTTCCAATGTTGGAGAATTATGTAAAGTAGAATTTGAAAGAAAACCTTCAGTTTTATACCGTCTTTCATCGGGTATTGTTTCATCATCACTTTGATCAGAATCAATGTTTAATTGACCTAAACAAATAGACATAAGCATGATTCAAATTTTATTGAACTTCTACCACTTGTTGTTGGTTGTTGTTGTTGTTCATCTTCAGTACGTCTCTGACAAAAAAAAAGAATTCATAACTCTTATCGATAAATTTCTTTTCATACTCGTTTAACAATAGGTTGAAATGGTGTAAATGATGGATATGTTTCTGGATCTGTTGATAAAATAGCTAAATTTTAATCTTATTAAATATTCTTTCATTTTGTTCTTGTTATTAAATTACTTACCAGTTTCCATTTTTTCCATAGGACCAATTAAAGTTCGTCCGATTTTAGTAGCATATGTCATTAGATAATGATATTGTGCTTGTTTTACAAGAGCTTGAATTTGAATTGCTGCAAGATCCATAATAGTTTGATTTTCATGACTAAAAGAAAAAGAATTATTTGTATATTACATTTCATATATCACTATCAAATACAAGAGAAAAAAACAAAAACATCAAACTTACTATATTACAAAACGATATCTAGGTGCCATTGATGGATCAACAGAAATTGAACAAGTTAATGAATTTCTTATTTTTTTAATGTTACAGTTCTACGTAGAAAAAAAAAATCTATGATGTTAATTGTGTTTCCTTTGACTTACTCGTTGACCTAATAAATATCGTTCAATATCAAACATTTCAATCGGAAGAGAATTAAATAAAGAACCATGAACTATCACTTGATGATTAACAAACTAGAAAAATATTTTAAATAAAATTTTAGACATAACAAAAAAAACAACATTTCATTACATCATAAATCGGATGATCATTATTTTCAAATGATATTAAATCGTAATGAATTCGTGTACAAATGACTATACATGTAGAAAATTTTTTAAACTTTCATTTTATTAATAAAATAGAAACATACTATCAAATTGTTTATTATCTCGTTCGTGTTGAGACTGAATAACTAAATGAAGTCGCGGTTCATCATCATCATTGCAAAAAGATTCCAATTCAACAGGAATATATTTTCCATTACATGTTATTGTAATACTTGAATTATTTGTTAACTAGCAAAAAAAAGGATTTTTTAATGTTTTTAGTGTACTCAAAACAAACCTGTTGCCAATATGAAGTTTGAGTTGCTGCAACACATATTTCATGAGAAAGACCCCGAAGAGAAATAAATACTTGTTTACCAGTACTACCTGATATAGAAAAACTAGCCATAATTATAATGATATGATGTATCGATGAGACTGATACTACTTATATGTATATATATATCTCAACAGACGTTTCTGCCTATTGAAAAGAAAAGAAGAAGGTTATTATATAGGAAAAAATTTTAATTTATCTATAATGTTGATTATTCTTCGTCCGCCGTTCTATTGATAATTGTCTACTATCGGTCACTTTTTACTGTATCTTATCCGGCAGAAAACAAGAATGATTTATCAGAAAAGTTAACATATATATGTTACTCTTCAACAAATTTGTTTTGTATTTAAAACTTACAGGTGAAATTTAATGATAGTACATAGTTAGAGATATGCAAATAAACATCAGTTAATAAATTGTAAGATGGATCGAACGAATTGTTTGTCTATTACAATCATAATCACATATAATCTTTAGAGAATTTTACTTGAGAAAACATATTCTTCATATTATTCTTTTTTCTCTATAACGCAATAATCATTTGCGGAAAAACGAATTACGGAAGAGTTTTTTTTGTTTCAGAAAAATATATTTCTATAATGATTGTCTCATACTGGTGTATTGCAAATTAACATTAGCAATATTTTGACTATCATAGGTTGAAATATAAATCGATTAATAGTATATTAAGAAAATTTATTGTTATTTGAAGCCTAGTTTAATCTTGAGGAATTGGAAGTCAAGCAGATATTGTAGTTGATCTATTGACCTGTGATCAACATAGTGCACTAGTAGCATTAGCTGTAACTAAAACTTATGCTTCATTAGGTGTTGATGTTGATCCTTGTTTAACTAACAGATAGATGCTTACCATGTCATGAAATAGAACCTATTGGAAAGTTTTTTGTTTTTTTAAATACATTTTATTGAGCAGAAAATAGTAAGCATAAAAAATGAAGTTCAATACAGATGATAAGAAAAATAACTATCTGTTAATGCTCAGTCTTCAATTCATTTCCTATTTAAAAATAATGTAAACTTCAAAGTTTTGCGGAAAATCCTGTGAAAAAAAAAGAAATATTGATATTAAATGTATGGATGCCCTCTATAAATGACTTCTAAATAACAACATTCGACTTGATTATAAGTATCATTTAGATTGAATGTGTCTAATGCAAATAGTAGCAGTTAGTAACTGACTCAAAACTATTTTTATAACAAGCAGAAAGATATGATAAGAAATGATAATACTTGTTGTTAACTTAACTCAAATATTCATGCAAAAAATTGCATTTGTGAAAATGTCAAAGGTGGTGTTATATGATTCGAATGAATATTTGAACAAAGATAGATTTGTTACTATCATAGAACTCTTTATTGAAATTTTCTTCAAATTCTTTTTTGATCGTTTACGAGATCCAAGAAAAAATGAATAGTTATTCCTGATATATATATATATTAAATTTGACATAAAACTTAAATATGATAGATTTTTACATTCTTAAACAATCATAAGCAGAATCGGTTTTATTTTTGTATTTCTCGATGACAAAAATGCTGTCTTCACTAGAGAATAGATGAGATGGTCACCCATAAAAACTACTCCAAGTTCCATACAAATAATATTTAAAAATAAACGTCTATAAACTATATGTTAATTTTGTTTAATATTAATTCAGTTTTTCCTTTCTCGAAATCACATGAAAATAGATTTATCACAAATTATTTACGAACGATTAAAGAATATCTTTTACATAGATGAATAAAAATCCAACAGAATTCAAAATTCTTGATTCTTTTTTTGATAGTGTTAGTTGAAACGATAGTTCATCATTTTAAAAATAAAATATTAATTACTAAATGAAATTTTTATCTCTTCAATCAAAACATGATTATGTTGCTGATTTATTTAGTAAAATCTTATAAAGAAATCAATATTTTTGAATAAAACCTCTAAAATAATTAATTTCTTTATTGAAAAAAAAAACGATTAAATCATTTTCAACTTTACACACAAATCATACGAAATAAGAAAGCATTAATAACAATAAGAATCAATGATGATGAAATCAATGAAGCTGTATTTTTATTTTCATCAACTCGTCGTCCCATACCACTGCATTGTGGATATTGTAAATTAACATTAGCAACATATTGATTATCATAGGTTAATGTAAATCGATTATTAGTACTAAGAAAATTTGTTGTTATTTGAAAACCATTTTTATCTTGAGGAGCTCCAATAGTTACTTCAACTGTAGTTGAACCATTCAATTGTGCTGCACATGGTTTACCAGCTACACGTCCTGCTACTAAATATTGTGTCTCACTTTTTTTACTAATAGTTGCTTGTTCAGATAAACAACAACATTCATCTTGGTTACAACTATCATCAATATTGAATGTTCCTACCCAATTACTAACAGCTCGTCGTGCACTACCACTACATTGTGGAGATTGTAAATTAGCATGAGCAATATATTGACTATCGGCACTAAGTGTAAATCGATTGTTTGTACCAAGAAACATTGTTGTTATTTGAAAACCATTTTTATCTTGAGGAATTAGAAGTGGAACAGATATTGAAGTTGCTCCACTGAGTTGTGCTTGACATGGTACACCGGCAACATCAGCTTCAACTAAAAAATGTGTATTATTAGCTTTGGTAATTTTGACTTGTTCAGATAAACAGCAACATGTGGCTTGATTACAGCTATTATCAACATTGTAGAATCCTATCCATTCCGGAGTTGTTGCAGATAAACATACATGAACAAAACCGACAAGAAAAATAAGAGAAATAATTGAAACTTGCATAATTTTGTTTAAAATATTGATGTTGTAATAATTATTAATGTGAAATTAGTGAAGAGATATTAAGTGAAGACTTGAATTTATATACGAAATATTTCTTTTGATTGTTAAGGTAACGGTTAGAAGTGTTGAATATTGACACATAGTGACGCAAATGATAAGAGTTCGTCAATCTTCATTTTTTTTGCCTTGACTCATGATATGCAAAAGAAACATATCTTTTGCAAGATATCATAACTCAAATAAAATTTTATGCTGCCTGATACACTTTACAAATCATATCCAGCATATGGCTATTTTCTAGTAAAACAATAGTTTCATTCCGTTGATTGAATATTGTTGATTAATGCAGAAAAAAAAAATTATTATATCACTAGTAGTAAAATCATTATCTAAGCTTAAATTCGTTCGAAAATTCATAATTGAATTTTAATTGATATCATAATGATATTATCATAAATTTATTATGTAGAATTCTTCAATGAAGAATTATTTCGTTTGATTAAAATACTAAACGTTTCATAGTTTTTTTTCTATTTGTATTACTTTGTAAAGAAGAAACTTTTCTTATTAGAAAAATTTTGAAATATCTATCAATACTTACAGAATATAGATTTATTTCTTAAAAGAAAATATTCTTTTATACATCAATTTGTCTTTTCATTACAATAAACTTCTATAAATGATTAATGAGCTTGTATAATGCTCTCCTTGAAAGTGAAACTGTTCTAACAGTATAAAAAAATATTCAGTTTCGAAGAAACGATTGGGTAAGAATGTCAAAAATTAATGTTTTTATTTATTTATATTGAATTACAAAGGATTAATTTGAAGCATTACTAATTTTTATTAACATCAAATGTTTAATTTCTTTTTCAAGTTCATTTTGTGATGTTTATAAAATAAATACAAAAACTATACTTGACTTTATATAAGTGCATGTGTAAAAAAAAATTGTACACAGATCTAACTCTTCAAAATTTACCATAAATAACTTCTTTTTTTTCAGTTACATATTTTGATTTGCTATATTTAAGTTATTCAATGAGACTGATGAACTAAATCTAGTGACTTCAGTATAACTTAAAAATAATATTACATTATGTAAAGTATATAGAAGAAACTGTTATGCATTTTTGAATTAGATTCTATTAATATTATTAAATGTAAATTAGATGTATTTATTAATAATAACAAAACCAGAATATGCTAAAATTTTAACATGAAATTATTTTCAAAAAAAAGCAAATGAAGAAAATTGATAATATACCGAATTTTCCAAAATGTTTGTACACATTTTATTTTTCATTTATGTCAGCATGAATAAATGATAAAATCTTGATTTTGTTTTTTTGAAAATGCACGATTAAAAGCTCTACGAAAAATGCCGGAACAAATCCCTACTGACATTCTTGATAATAAAGACGTGAGCAAAATAGTTATACCAGATCGTTTGTCATATAATACAAACGAATTTGCATGAAATCTGACTTTGCTATTATTTAACATGCTTGCCAAATATTTGAATTATAATGTCTGATTAATTAAAAATGAAATTTTGATTTGTATTTTTTTCTTCTTTTTTTATCAATAATTTTCAATGATAAAATCAAAGTATTGAGATACCGATCACAACCTAAGAAAGTCAATACTATACATCGAAGTACTTTAGGTACTCAATTAGTTGTCAAACATGGTAATGATTACTACTATTGAGAACACCATGAATAGATGTATACTTTGTTTATATTTTGATGACTAGTTTAAGTAATTAGTTATTTATAAAATATACAGATATACATGTGGTAATGATCATATCTCTAATCGCACTGCAGTATATCATTACAGAGTAGAATCAACTATTGGAATCACAGCTCAAGGTTTCCTTGGTAATTAAGTTTTTTTTTCATACAAAGGAATGAACTTTATGATCAAGAATGATTTAATTTTCACATTATATCATTGCTTAACGATAAAAAAAAAGGGTTTTGTTTAAAGGACCTTCTTTACAACAATAGATGTCCATGAAAAAACTCTTTCAGGTACAATTACAATAAACTTGAAAAATACATTCTATTATCTGCTTCATAGAATGCTATTATTTATTTCAATTTAGATTTCTGTTCAATTGTATTTTAGACTTTAAATCAATTTATATGATTAGTTTTGTTCTAAATTGTTCTTTAAAAATTTTATTTCAAACTTAATTAGAACAAAAAAAAAAATCTTTGTCACCGTCAATAAAAATACTAATA